AGGAAAATTCAGATCTTGTACCTTGTAATGGAAGCACTGTCTAGTAATTTTCTTGTGGAATACGTGTTGATGTTTTCAGTTTGAAACATCTATGTCTGGCTTTTGATCATGTCAAAAATAAAAATAATTTATTTTTATATATTTTGTTCTGAAATATTCTGCAAAGAAAGTTTATTTAAGAAATGTGCACTGTAAATAAATCTGCAGTCCTTTATGTCCATAACTGCATGCTTCTGAAATAGAGAAACAGGTTAGGGATTCACGATTAGTTTTAAAAACTGGTAACTCAGTGGTTTTACAAAACAGAGTTCCTGTTACTGTTCATTTCAAAATGGTTTGTCTTTTTATCTTTGAGAATTTCTGTGCTAGTTTCAATATTTCAGTTATTTCAGGGGAAGAAATCTGTTGAAGCTACAAGACTTAGTGAAGGACCCAGCCACAAAGTTCAGATATCAAGGTGATGAGCTCAGGAAAAAATCAGCACTAAAGAGGAGATTAGATTTAAATTTCCCTAGAATTCAGAAGTGCTTGGTTCTGGGTTAGAGTCCACCGCTAATTTTCTAACTGTGACCAGATGGTTCTATTGATGTAGAAACTAAATCCTATTTGAAGGTGTGTGGCCTGCCATCCATCCCATCTATACAACACCATGAGCCAGGTCCTGGAACAGTTTTCTACCATTTCAAGACCAAGCCCACATTGTAGTATAGACAGGATTTTAAGAAGTTCTTTATCTGCTCGATAAGGGGATTTTTATGTTCATTTTAAAATTCATTTTACAAAATGAGGCATAATATTTTATCTTTCAAAATAAACTGCTGGTGCTTAGATTCCTCTCGTAGAATCTCAGAAGACACCTTTTGTTGTGCCCACATAGAAAAATACATCATTTATATTCACTGTTACTCAAAGGAAAAAGAATAAGAATTATCTTCATAAATAAATTATTTTCAAAAATTAGTTAAAATTTATTAATTTTGGTCTCTCTTCTTGCAGAAAGTTTAGTTGTAGCACACTAAATTACTCTCCACCTGGTGTTTATACCTTTCAGATAATTATAGACAATTATCATGTTTCCTAGCCATTAGAGAAACAGGTATAGTTTTTAAGATATGAATAGGGGAAAATGGGCACTCTAAATTTGTTACATCTTCTTGGTGCGAAAGTGTCTAGAATTGAATGCAATATTCCAGTTTTAGTTTCACCAGAGTCATGCTTCTCCCTGTCCTATGATATCATGGCTCGGTATAAGCAATCCCAAAGCACATTTGCCTTTTTTTTTTATGCCATATGTATTATAAGATCACATCTAACTTGTTTACCCACTTTCATTCCTATGCCACTGCCAGCCTTATTAATTTCTTCTTTCTATGAATAATTTGTGTTTTGGACCATTTTGTCCATTGTGTTTAAAGATGCTGAATCTCATTTGAATATAATCACTAAAAAAAACTGCAATAAAATATTCCCAAGGCTGGGTCTAGGATTTTGGAAGCCCCACATTCTTCATGGCAGATTTCCTCTCTTTCCTCCCTTCCCAACTATGTTTTCACCTTGTATCTCCTTTCTTCAAATGTACCCTTCCTCGTGTGTCCCAGGGAAAATTGGGGCACAGCATCAAATTCCCTCCATCCCCACATTCTAGTCAAATAAATTAAATTAAATTAAATTAAATTAATGGAGATATCCCATCTCCTAGAACTGGAAGGGACCTTGAAAGGTCATCGAGTCCAGCCCCCTGCCTTCACTAGCAGGACCAAGTACTGATTTTGCCCCAGATCCCTAAGTGGCCCCCTTAAGGATTGAACTCACAACCCTGGGTTTAGCAGGCCAATGCTCAATCCACTGAGCTATCCCTATCCTTCTTAGAAATGAAGAAGTTCTAGCAGCTGGGTGTTTTCTCACAGTTGGCCAACAGAGATCACACTGTCCTCTGCACTTTTAGCACTGTCTAATGCTAGTCCGTTAGTAAAATGTCAATCGATGCACGAAAGACAACAAAATACTCCACCATTGGAACTGTCCCACAAGTTGGGAGTTTTCCAGGAATTCAGTTGCATCTGTGACGGGTACATCCTAAAACCAGTCTCTGATTATTCCCAACCTCAGTTCTTTCTGTTTACAAGAATAAGTGTACAATTCAACCAAGGGTCTGGTTTTGTTGCAGTACCATAGTTATCTTTTAAAATTCCACTCACTGACTTTAACAAACAGTATTGATTTTTGTCTTGAAGAAGCCAAAAGTTTCTGTTACAAAATGGTTCTCCACTACAATGCAGAAGTGCTGCACTATTTTACCATTCAGAAAGTTGGGCTTCTGATATCATAGGTTGCTTGCTCTTTACTTGTATAGAGGAAAAACCCGTGCAACAGGTTGTGGGAACATTTAATGTGAGGCTTTGTTTCAGTACAATGTTCAGACTGAATCGGAAACCTGAAACTCTTACTGAAAAAGGCCAGCTCCAGCATTCAGCCTCTTCAAGCCTGATCCTGCAGGGTACTAGCAACTACTAAGAGATGTTAAGCACCCTGCTTCACAGCAACACTAGATCAGGCCCTGCTTCCTGATTTGATTTTGATAGATAGCCTTATCACTATACTTTATCTTTAAAGGTCTACTACATCAATAAGCTGATTTGTCTCATTGTTGAAGATTTTTAAAAGCTAGCACTACAGACTGAATTGAAACAAGTTAAGAAAATTTGCCATATCTTTTTCAGACTCATTAGTCACTTAAAAAAAACATTGTAAATATGTTCTTTGGCAAGGATATAAAATGTGGTATTTAAATATTTAAAATCACTACTAAAGTCATATTAAATATCTTTTTTATTTTGCATAGATTTTTAAGGTCAGACGGGATTATTATGATCATCCTGGCCTGACCTTCTACACAGCACAGTCCATAAAATTTCACCTAGTGACCAGGGCCGGCTCCAGGGTTTTGGCCGCCCCAAGCAGCCAAAAAAAAAAAAAGCTGCAATCGCGATCTGCGGCGGCAATTCGGCGGAAGGTCCTTCGCTCCGAGCGGGAGTGAGGGACCGTCCGCCGAATTGCCGCCGAATAGCTGGACCTGCCGCCCCTCTCCGGAGTGGCCACCCCAAGCACCTGCTTGCCAGGCTGGTGCCTGTAGCCGGCCCTGCTAGTGACTCCTGCACTGGAGGGAATTATTCTTTTAAATCCTTTCCTGCACTGCTAATAACATTATCTGACCATAATTAATCCTCAAAACACACCTTTGAGGCAGGTACATTACGTATCATTGTACCAGTTTTACAAGAGGGGAAACTGAGCTCCAGAGAGGTTAAATGACTTGCCCCAGCCATACATGATGTCATCGGCAAAGCAAAGATTAGAGCTCAGCTCTAGCTCCCAGGCCTCTGCTCAGCCCTCTAGATCATTCTCTGCATCTCAGAAGTTCTGATTCCTTCCACTGTGGAATGCTAGACAACCCTTGTAATACTGCACACAGTGGTTTACTGAACAGCATATTAAATAAAACTGAAAAATCTGCAGAAATTCTTGGCATCTCAAGTTTCAGGAGCTGCAGTAACTTGCTTTCACATTCAGATAATATTCATAGAACTATCCACTGAAGCAGGCACATAGTGGGGCCCCAATTCTCCATTAGGTGCAAAAAATGGCCTGACTGGACCAGAAAGTGTAGCCCTTATAACACAGTATAAGGATTGGATCCTGACATGCTAACAGACCCTTACTGATTTCAGTGGGGCAACAGGATGCATCCATCTGAAGATAATTACAGGATCAGAGCCTAAGTAAGAAGCCAGTCTATTTTACTTGCTTATTATTCAGCATAGTGCTTATTAAGTGCAGAAATGAAGTGTCCACATACATTACTCCAATGGATTCTTTATGCACAAGAATTGTGTTTCCCATACAAAGAAGAGAACCATAGACAACTGGTGCCTCTCTATACTGGGGTGGGGGCACAATCTAAAGGTGAGGACACATGACTGTCCCATGTGTCTCCTCTCCCAGTGACACCCCCCACCACCCTGAGCCCAGCCCAGGATGCCATGTTCTCCCCGCCCCACATTACCTGAGGGAGAGAGGGCTCTGTCCTTCTCTCCCTGCACTTCCCCCTGGCACATTTGGCCGCTCTCCCTGGCAGCCGGGCAGGGAGCAGGATGGAGCTGCTTCTGCCTGAGAGAGCCTGGCTGGGAGACAGTGGGGACCCACCTTCCGGCTGGGCCCTGCTGCCGGGGGACAGGGGCCGAGCAAGCTGGAGCCGCCCCCACCCCACACCGGCATGCTTGTCCCTTGTCCCTGGCAGACGAGCCCGGGTAGGGAGCAGGCCGCCGCTGCCTCCCAGCCAGACTCAGGCAGAAGCAGCTCCATCCCACCCCCCACGCAGCTGCCAGGGAGTGTGGCCAAATGTGCCAGGGAGGGAGGCACAGAGAGAGAACGACCGAGCCCTCTTCCTTCCCACCCCCAGCAGGCTAATCTGAGGAGGCGCTTGACCCACACATGCCCCCCCTACACATCGCCTCTGAAGAGAACAATCACAATCATATTGCAGTAGAATTTAAGGACAGCTCCATCCACAGAGCAAGGTGCCGGCTCCATAACTTGCTTTGTGACCTGGTAACCTCACAGATTCCTTCTCTCCCCAGGCCATATGACCAGTGCATTACTGTTTTTTATTTGAAATTGTATATTTTAATATTACAAAGGGGCCTGGAGCATTAACTGGGCACCTAATGACTGAAAAATCTTTTCTATAAATCCAATAAATAAATAAAATTATAGTGCAAACAATAAACCACCTTCTGATACTCTTACTCATGTTCAGAAGCAATTTCCATTTACCTCAATGGGACTACTCAATGTGAGTAAGGATATGAGAATCTGGTCCATAAAAACACTGTATGTTCTATTGAGACACCTAACGGCAACTACTGCACACACATTTCTGTTCATATTATGTTACTAGTGCTTAACCTAGAAAAGTAAATCATGCTTTTTGTTTCCCTCAGGCACTATCCTTGGATTTGGTCTCCGACCATACAAAATGACCTACCGGGAAGTCAAGTACTTTTCCTTTCCAGGAGAACTACTGATGAGAATGTTGCAGATGTTGGTCCTACCACTCATCGTATCCAGTTTGGTTACAGGTACAAAAGCCTAATCAACTTTTTAAAAAGTTCTCTCCTCTCCATGAATTTGTTAAAGATAAAAACATGAAGTCATAAGAATGTGCACTCCATAATCTAGACAGACATGGCATTGCAAAGCTATACAACAAATTATACTAACCTGCAACATGAGGCATTGCTCACAAAAAAGTAGATCCACACAAAAAACAGCCAAATGATCCAAAAACATTTTTCAAATGCCAAAGTCATTGTAACTACACAAAACAACATATCTACTATAAAGTTGCAGTTGGCTGTACTCTTCTTCCTTGCCCTTACATCCTACCCAGAAACTGTCTTCCATAATGTCCTACTGCCATCAAGGGTAAGAGAATAGTCTGTATTCCACTGTTGTTCCAAGACTCACTGGAGATTTAAATTACTCTGTGCTGAGCTTGGGCAGGTACCTCTGCCACTCCTCTGTCACATACTTGTCTACCTCCAGTCTGTTCAGTGGCAGGATGGAGGCCAGGAAAATATGTATCTGTTGTGCAAGAGACTTCAGCCTCCATTCCATCACTTGTGGAACTTCTCCCTCATTTCTGGTTTACCTTTTCCACCCAATAGGCTCTTCTAAGCCTCAAGATCTCATTATTAACTTGCTCCGGGTATTAGTCAAGCTAGCGATGATCAAGTTGCGGATGAGGAGGAGAATAATAAAAATAAATAATGTGTTGTCCTTTTCTAGTGACTTTCTTACAAGGATGAACATTAATTAATTAAGGCTCACAACACACCTGTGAGGTAGGAAAGTATTGTTATCCCTATTTAATAGATGGAGAAACTGGGGAATAGAGAGGTTTAAGTTTTCCAAATTTACACCACAACTCAGTGGCACAGCTAGGAATAGAACCCAGAACATATGACTCCATTTTATGAGCTAAGCACTAGGCCACAGTAGCTTTACTGCTATAAGATCCATACATAGGGTGACCATATTTCCCTATGCTGAATACAGGACACCTGGTAAAATTACTCATATTCAAGCGAGTTCAGTGGCAATCAATCAGAAATATCCAGTACAAACGTTCAAATTAACATCAAGTTGATTGAGACCTTGTTAAAAGAAGTACTGCGTAGCAGGATTCTTTTTATTTACCTTCTTATCTTTAAGGTTCACACGGGGAGAGGTAACAAACACACACTCCCATACACCTCTCTCACACAGGGTAGGTAACTGACCAACTTGACCCTCCCTGCCCTGTGCTCTCTGCCCTCCATGCCTGGCTGGGCCCCTGGGACAGACCTGTCTTTCCTGGTACCTGGCGCAACATCTTCCAGAGGCAACTCATGCAGGGTCACATGCCCCACTCCCCAGATTTCTGCCAGGGTTCACACCAGAATGTGGCCAGCAGCAGCCTTTTGGTACTGTGCGGGAGGGAAGGGATGGGAGCCGCTTCCAGCCTCAGGGGTGGGGAGGGGGGAAGGGATGACCTGGCCCATGTCTTTGCAGAGCTTATCTCTTCCCACCCCTCCACCCCCCTCGCCCACTTCCCTGCGGCTGGAAGCAGCTTGTCCCTTCCTGCCCGCACAGTTTCAAAAGGCAGCTAACACCTCAGGCTGCTACTGGCCACTGAAGTAACCCAGCCGCCTCCTGTCCCCCAGCTACAGCATGAGCAGGAAGGGGTTAAGCCCTAAGGATGAATTGTGCACCAGGACGCAGGGAACCTGACTGCAGGGGCTTCAGCGAACCCGGCCAGAGAGGTGGCTGAGCAGGGACGGGTGTCTAGGGGACTGAGCAGCCCGTCACTCGCTAGGGGTAGGACCCAGGGCAGGGTGGAGGGGCTGGTGAAGAGGGTGCTAAGCCCCTGCCCAGGGGCTGCTGTGGAACCTGCAGGGTCAGGGCGCGAACAAGCTGGAAATCGCTCCCCTCCCCCCATCCCCCTGCCACTCCAGAGCTTAGCTGAGGCGTGGAGAGGCTTCCCCGTGCCAGCGCTGTGCGGGGTTCGTTCCTCCTGGCCAGTGCCCTGGGCTGGAGGGTCTTGGGCTTTCCCGGGGCACCGGCCCAGCCGGAGGCAGTGAGGGAAGGAAGGAGCCTGCCAGCCAAGCTGTTGGTGAGCTGAGCGCTCCGACCAGGGGCTGGTTCTCCGCACAGCGCCGGGAGCGGGATGTGCCCCGCCGGGGGGGGATATGGAGGAGCAGTGGGGTGGGGGGGTGAAGGGCAAAGCAGAGAGAGGACAGCGAGAGGGAGAACATGCAAAGGGGCGATGGGTGGGCGCCACAGGCAAGACATAACCGGCCAACACCTCAGGCTGCTACTGGCCACTGGGTGGCTGCCTGGGGCCTGCCCACACGCACCAGCCACCGCAGCTCACAGCCAGTGCCGGCCAGAAACGGGATGGGGGACAGGGCCGTGCTGGCCAAGAGCCAGCCTGCAGCGGGGGCTGCACTGATGGACCAGCAGGGGGAGTGGCTGGCCTTGCACGCTGCAGCGTTACCCCGCCACCAGCCTTGCACACCCACCCCCATCGTTGGCCACTGGATCCCCGCCACTCACCGTTAGTGGGCAGGCAGCTGGCGAGCAGGGATCCGGCCAGCAGCAGGACCTACCAGTACTGATGAGGGGGAGACAGAAAATATAGGACAATTTGCCCGTTTTAAAGAAAAAGTTGGGACACCTTCAGGATGGCTTAAATACGGGATTGTCCCTATAAAAACAGGACGTCTGGTCACACTATCCATACACTGAGTACAACAATCTTCTGCTGTAGTGGTGGTTAAACTTTTTACCATGAGGACAAACTTTTCTGAAAGCAAATGAGCAAAGACTCCACCTTCACAAGTGCTAGAGAATTATGGGTGTTTTTTGCTATGGGGCAAAGGGGGAGTGACCCCCTTTCCTGACTTTGCATAGCTCCTCGCCAGCCGGCACTGCGATGTCTCCCCCCCGGGCCCGTGAGAGCTGCCATGGGACAGGCTGGACCAGAGGCCAAATCTCCATGATGTCAGTATCACCCCACTGTCCCCATTAGCCGGACAGGAAGCAGCAGCAGCGGTAGCCTGGGCTGGAGCTGAGCACAGAGTGACCCAGGCCCCAAACTCTGCCATGGAACGGCCATCAATGAGACACCCTCCCGGATGGGAATGGCCTGCTAACTCCCTACAATGAGCCACAGCCTCAGCGGGGAGGTAGAAGTAGGTATGCAGACACAACTTTGCCCTCCTTTAATTTTTTTGAAATAATGCCCAGGAGACAATATTCATCCACACAATATATATAGTACCTATATGGCTCTGACAATGTCAAATAGGCCGCAGCTGACTGCAGCCCCTAGGTTGAGAACCACTGATTTAAACTTTCGCACTGATACTACTTGGTGCTCTATTGTTACAAATAACTATAAACATAGATATTTGGTGCTACATTATCTAAACTGATAGTTCTGCCAATTGTTGGCATAGAGGTTTTATAAACATATACACATGGGGGTTTGGTGCAGAGTTATACTCAGGTAAGTATGCAGTAAGAATTTAATTTATAAATGACAGATTATCATCTTTCTAGAGATAGTATGATGTAATTTTTAATTAAATTCAGATTTTGTATATTATAAGTAACTCACTAGCTAAAAGCCTAATGCTTCTCAAACCAGTCTTGGTACCATATAATCCAAGCTGTTATTGTTAATATTTTGAATGTATACCTTTGTTCTTTGTAGATTCGGGAGAGAGTCTCACAGAACTTAATGTTCTGGGTTTCTGCAAGCTTTTATCTCTGTGTGACCAAAACATTTGGATGTGTGGACAATCCCAGAAGGTGTATGTGGTGACCTATTTGCCCATATACACTCTAGAATAGATTGGGGCTGTTTAATTTTGTTGAGGATTACTGTGGTGTGGAAGAAGTTACAAGAGTGTACAACTGAGTCATAACTACACAATAGTTGCTGGCTATTACACAGCTACTAGATGAATTCAGAAAGTGAAGAGTTCTAATCTTCCGTCAATACATCTACATAATTCTGAAAGTTAATCACATAAATTCATGGGAGAATAAACGTCAAAGGTTGAAGACAACATATTGGCTGTACATTCACATCCCTAGACTATTTTGGTCTTTTTCCAAAAGAAACAGTTCAGGGCCTCCTTTTCTTTGGCTATTATAATATTTAACAGAAATAAGCATATATGGATTTATTAGAAGCAATTTTATTGACCATATACTTTGCAAGGATCATTAGGCTTTCATTACTTTTTATGAAGATTATGTACCAACATTTTTGAGACGTTACATCAGGATCACCATGCAATTAAAATGCATACATTGAAATATAAAGCTTTAAACTTTGCCCTGCGAGATTTGTCTGAGTATTTCAAACAGGGAGACAATTATTCAATGTGCAATCATGTCATAGTGAGGTATGGTTTCACGTCCAAGCCACACATTTCTAAGCAAAAATTCACCCAAATTACTCATGAACGGTCTTTTTAAGAACATAGTCTCTATGCAGAGTTTGAGACAAAATTTGAAATCCAGAGAGTTTTGTGAAAATTTCGTTGCAATCTTTTGCACAGATCTAATCATATCCCAAACTGGTGGAGCCTCTGGAACGCCTTTTTTTTTTTTTTTTTTTTTTTTGGGGTAGTAGTTTGGGATTTAGTTACACAGACATCATTGATTTTTAAAAGTGTTTTTTGTGACTAAATCATTGTAACAAGACAGGCCTTTTCCCCTGCTCACTGCCATGCCCACAGTCTCTGTCCAGATGGTTTTATGTCCAGACTTAGATCAAATCACCAAAAACACAGTTTCTCAGCTCACTCTGGGCTACATCTCCCAAGAGTGTTTCCCTCTTTAGTTCTCAGATTCCTTCTGCCTTGTTAAGTTCTTAAACAGATTGGCTGCTTCTGCTTCCCAGCCTTCCCTCCCAAGAGACTCTGACAGTCCTGCTGCTCTTCAAGACTCCCTATTCCCAAAGAGCAGGCAGTGAAGGCCATGTCTGCTCTCTGCACTCCTTTCTTGACTGTCTCTCAGGCTC